ATGTTTGTATTTATTAGGGTATAAAAGAAATGGGGCCAATGTGTCACGCCCATATCAGGCTGAAAGCCTTTAATCCTTATACCTGCGCATATAAAAAGGGGCTTTAGGTTTAGGTTTGCGTTAACTTTCGTACTCGATCAAAATAGCCTTAGCGCATATCATTCTCTGTACGAGTTCATGGTTTATCAAAGAAGGGTTTCATCTTGTTCATCTTTCTGCTATTTAGCTTCTTGATAGATCGTTTGATATTGCTGTTTTAGAAAATAGGGACTAACAAAGCCTTGAATCATTAAGCGGCTTTGGGAGAGTTCATCCATTGATATATCAAGGTCTTTCATGGCTCGAACCGTCAAAATGTTAACGGCAGACCCTTGGACTATCATAATTCTTCTGAATCTTTGTCCATGAGTGTATCCTTCAACAAAGAGCGGACGGTTATGGGGGGTAGCACCCAACATAAGATCTTCGTCTTTAAAGACAATGGCAATGGCATATGCAGTAGATTTTTGTGCTTCAGCCACTTCTTTCTTACTTGAAACTGGAGATGAACATCTGCTTGAACTCTCAACTTCTTTCTCGTGGGTGCTAAGGCAACAACTTGAAATTTGAGTTATCTTTTTCTCGAAATCCTTTGGCATGTAATCGTTGAGAGTAATCGACCTTCGCGCAACTTTGGATCGAACATGATCCTTCCTTTGCTTCCTTTTCTTCAATCCATTTATCGGTTGTTGCCTAACCCATTTCTTTATCACCTTCTTCGGTTGTGGATTAGGTTCATGATTCTTCCTTTGTTTCTTTCAAGTTACCAAGATCCATGGTCTCCCTTTGTCATCGACATCCTCAAGTGCCATTCTTTTAGTGAGAGGCGGACATCCTTTCATTCCCTTGACAGTAAAAGGGAGCTTATGCCTGTGAGAATTTAGGTCATCGTCGACCATGAGCGGAGCAAACCTACCAAATGTAATGGTAATTTGGTTTGTGTTTGCTGCAGAATCAGCAAGTTCAATCTTTCCTTCACGGGTCAAAGCCATAATTTTGTCTTTGAACACCCAACACTTCTCTATCGGGTGACTCAACACTCTATGATATTCGCAGTAATTAGGATCATTGACCTTTGTGGCTTCCTCGGGTCGTTTTGACTGAGGTAAATCAACAAGTTTCAACCTCGTCAGTTCATCGAACATTGGAGAAACATCAGATTCCAAGAAAGGATATTGTTTCTCCATCATCTCTCGCAAAATTGGCTTGACACGCCCAGAGGTTTCAGGTTCAACTCTAGCAACCTGCTTTGCCTTCTCGGTAGTTTGAGTGAAGACTTTGACTGGTGAAGCTTTCACAACCATCGCTTCTTTCTTTTCAAATTTAGAGAAGGGCTTGCCCCTTTCTTGGTATCTTGCTTTTCAGCGGCATTGTTCATGGGATATATGTCCATGGTTTGTCTTCCACTGCTTGCAATGCTCAACTCCATGTTACGAGCTTTGCTTGCTAATTCATCGAAAATAGTTGGATTCACTCCTTTCAGAATATAACATAACTCCCAATGCATGCCTTCAATGCACATATCAATTGCAGAGTTTGTAGAGATCCGATCTTTGCAGTTGAGGGCAAGTTCCCTCCAACGTTCAATGTACGTTATCACGGGCTCATCTTTCCACTGGCGAGTAGTTGTTAATTCAAGCAAACTCACTACCCTCCTTGTGTTGTAGAAACGGTTTAAGAACTCACGTTCCATATCTTGCCAGCTATCAATGGATCCGGGCTCCAAGTCAGTATACCAGTCAAATGCATTTTCTTTCAAAGAGCGCACAAATTTTTTGACCAGGTGATCCCCATTCGTTCCCGCATTATTGCAAGTTTCTACGAAATGGGCAACATGTTGTCTCAGATTTCCTTTTCCATCAAACTCTATGAACTTCGGCGGCTGGTAACCGATGGGCATTTTCAGATCCTCGATCCTTTGGGTGTACAACTTAACATAGGAGTAAGTAGATTGACTTCCTTCTATCTTCCCCTTTATGGTTCCCATGATGAAGGTTTTAAGTTGATCAATCAGGATCATACCCCCAGAGGTTGAAATGTTCTTTCCCGAATCCTCTTGGTGAGAATCATTATCTTCATGCACTTCGGGATCCTTCCCATGAGCATGACTTGACTCGCCTTTCAAGCTTTCTATTTTGCTGTTCAGATCGTTCAACTTCTGATCTTGAGCTTGCATGAACATACTCATCCTCTCGATGACCTTAGTTAGATGAGCGATTTGGTCCTCCATAGATGTGGTGTTCGTGGTCATAGTGGGCATCACAGTGTAGACATTTGACCACTGTGGGGTAGTTCCTCGTGGAGAAGTTGATGGAGAAGTAGAGTCTGAACCAGATGATGAGCTTTCACCACCGTTTGTCCACTTCGGGGAAGTAACTTCACGTATGGATGAAGAAAGCTTCTGGGCCATCTCTTGCGCAGTTTGAAATTCCTCCATCGCACTAGGAGTAGTTCCCGAAAATGCATGACTGTGCAGCTAGGATTCTTGATCGGCTCCTAGTGATGGGGCCTTGCATGTTTTGATTCGAGCTTGATGATGCTTGAGAATTCAAAGTGAACACGGGCTTGCTTGATGCCATTGGTTCGCTTTCCTTGATCAAAAGTGAAGAGATGAGAGGTAGAGGTGTCCCACTGGGCGTGCCAAAAATTTGTGAAACAAATTTTAAGTATTTACTTAAAATTGATCGCAAATAATAATATGTGAGAATATTGAGTACAATCTCTAAATATGAATCCTCTGATTCTTCACTTGCAATTTGACATGAATATAATTAAAGAAATTAATTCAAAATTAAATCTTTAATCCTTCAAACGTTTGCACGTTATTCAAATCTTCAAATCTTCGTTCTTGAGATCTTCGAATCTTCGAATCTTCGTTCGTCGGATCTTCAAATCTTCTTGAATTAAGAATTCAACTTGAAGGGCCTCCGGTTTTCAAGTGGCTTGATCTTCAACAAAATGGCCGTTTTATGGCTTGATCTTTTGTTTAAGGGCCTCCCGGGATATATGGTTTGATCTTCAATTGAATTCCAATTCAATCTTCATATGAGTATCTTCAAATCTTCAAAGATTCGTTCTTCATATCTTCGAATCTTCAAAGTCTTGTTCTTCAGATCTTCGAATCTTCAAACTTCGTTCTTCAGATCTTCGAACGTTCTTCAACTTTTGGATTTATTTTATTAAGAATCGACAAAATCAAAAAGGATTATTCGTATATTCTTAATAAAATTCGTGGCTTGATCTATTCCTCTTCTTCGGAAGCGTTCAGAGCCTTTCGGGAGTTCTTGAGAGCTTTTCTGCAGCGTTTCTTCGTCTGAAATTCTCTCTCCTGTTCCTCTCAATTGAGACCCCTATTTATAGGTGTGGAGGGAGTGAAAATATGCTTTTAGGGTTGTGAAATTCGTTCATATGTTTAGGGCCCTGATTAAAATGGGCTTTGGGCTATATTTACTTGCATTTAATAGCTAGGAAAGTTAGCACTTGTTCGATGTATCTGGACAGCCTTTTTAACAAGGTTCGCAGTCATTTTCCATACATACGGATGAATTTCTTAACCATATTCATTGCTCTGTTTATCAATTGGATCATGACTCTTATTCATTGAGCTACTATTTAATAATGGACTCAAAATAAACAAATTAATAGGACTGATTCATTCTTTTCAAGGAATTAAATTAATTGGATATTTGAATTATCCGAATTAATTAAATTATATATGAACGGATCCATATTAATATTTTCCCTTTTGATAAGGCCCAATAACCATCTTAAGCAGCCCAGTAGAATCTGACGTTAGTCCAATAGCCTTGAGACCCAATAAGGTGCATAACGGTCCGATAGCACTTAAATGAGTTCAATAATACGTAGTATTAAAGACCATAAAATAATTAGACCAAAATAATTTTCAATGTCCACATCATGGTTGGACTCGGGCCGGGTGGCCTGACTCGGAACCGGCCCGGGACCGGTACTGTTCCGGCCCGGTCCGAACCGGTGGCCCGGTCAGTGACCAGTCCGGGTAGGCCCGACCCGGTGGGTTTCCGGTCCGGGCTCGGGTCACCCATAACAAGGCCCGGCCCGGCCGGGCCCAGGCCCGGCCGGGCCCAGGCCCGGTTCGGGTCAAATTTTTTTTTTTTTAGTTTTTTTCATTTGTTTGGGCTCCACCGGGCTGGGCTTGATGTTTAGAAGGGGTTTGGGGGGGTGGGAGGTGAGGGGGAGTAAGGGATGGGTAGCTAAGCAAAAAAAACAAAAAAAAAACAAACCCGAGGCCCTGCCCGGCCCGGACCCGGTGGCTACCCGGGCCGGTCCCGGGTGCAGCTATATAGAACCGCCGGCCCGACCAGGCTCGACCCGGCCCGAGTCCAACCATAGTCCACATACTGTTATTTCGTTATTTGTTGATAACTTCGTTTTACACTGAAAAGCAACAAAAAAATATTGTGATGTTTGGTACGGTGTATATTATTTGTGATTTTGTATTACATTTTTGGATGAGTTCAACATGTATTAAATGAGATAAATTGTTCTCTATTTCCTCATAATAGAGGTTCACATTTTGTAGCATTAATAGAGTTAGAACTCATTTGGTAATCCTTATTTTTAACTTATCAACCTTATTAGACAACTATTTTACCAAACAAATAGATTTTGACTTCACGCGTTCGCTGAATTGAGAAAAAAATCAAAACAAGCATATTTTTTTCCTGAAGAACACTATTAACTATTTTTAATGCAATTTTCTTAGTTTTCTTAGATTTTGACTAGTTTTAAATACCTAGTATAATTCTTAGATAATTCAACAACTTCAGCCACTTTAGCACATTAAGACGATTCAGTCAATTTCAAATTTCAATGTTACCAAACGAGCCCTTAATGTGCGTAACTGCGTATCAGCAAAATAGTCAAATAAATAGATTTCTACTTGCTTATTTACTTTCAGAAACGTCATACATATCCAATCATTTTAGCCAAACAAACCGTGAAACTTTGATAGCAAAAAAGGATATCGAACATTCATTATTTGAAGAGACAAAAGTTTAGATGATATTCAACTTTTGTTCTTCCTAATACACAGTCCAGTTTTCATTCCTGCACACTTTAGGATTATTATTACAAGTTGTACACAAACGAACACTCAATATATCAATCCATGGACAAGGCTTGGAATATACCGTGGAAGAACTCACCACAGACACAGACACACACTTACATATATCTACAAAAACAATCTGGAGTGAAGTACAAGCTTAAACAAAGTGGAAGCGCATTAGAAGCCTTACAGAATTGTAGCTATCTCCTTTGCGGTCAAATAGGCGAACCGCACGAATGCCTGATCTCAACTCTGAGATAGGAATGCATGTTTGTCCAGCAAAATCATCCTTCTCAGACATGTCATGTTCTAACACCTCGATTCTTAGCAAAGCAAGCTCTGGTACAGTCAATGGGAAAGTAAACTCTTCTTCCCAGACAGGGGTCCAGTTATCCTCCTTTTTCTTTGTACTCTTCATCACTGTGTCAGCTGGCACTCCAGCAATCCCAACCTGTCATACCAGCACACATGCTATGTTATTGCCATTTTATATGCATCAACATATTAATGTGAAGATATTAGATCATTTGGGGCATGTTTGGATCAGGAGAAATGCTAGAGGGGTGTTAATAAATATTACGTAGAAATGTAGAATGTGCTTATGTTTGGTTTTACCTCGAGAACACAAAATAAACAAATACTCCCTCCGTATCTATTTACTTGTCACACTTTCCTTTTTTGGTGTATCAAATTAGTTGTCTCCTTTCCTTTTTTTGGAAAGAATCCCACTAAAAAAACAGCTACAGTACCACTACGGTACCGCTGCAGTACTGCTACAGTACCAAAAACCTCTTTTGTTATAGGTTACGTTTTTTGGCTTATAAGAACCCCATCAAACTTGGGATTCTTTCCTACAAAAGTCACCTCATAAGAATAATCCAAACATGATCTTATAAATTGGTTTGTTATTTTATATTTAGCTGATGCGGAACATATTCATCAACAAAACTGGTTATATATAACTATTACTCCCTCCGTATCTAATTAGATGACCCGTTTTCTTTTCACGGAGTTTAAGACAATTACTATAGACTTTATAGATCAACAAATATGTAAAAATAAATTTTATGGGTTTTAGGGTTTTACCCATAAATGCACAAGAAGCATTTCATTCATTCATATTTTCTTAATGAGTTTTTGAAGCTGAAATGAATGCACAAGAAGGTTTCTGCCAAAGCAATTTATTTGTTGCCAGATGACTACATGAGTATTGCGCATAATTGCACAGATGTTATGAGGAATATGCAGACCTCCCATAGACAAACTATCAGCTTACCCTCGTGTAGAAGTCTGGTGGAGAATATAAATCAAAGTGAGTTTGTTTAAAGTCCAAGTGCCATCCATCTCCCATATATACTTTTACCTTTAAGAAACATTATTAGAGAGTCAGTCATACAATAGAGAGATTCAGTTCTTTTTACACAAAAAAGTAAATAAATTTCAGTTTACGTCATGGTTCGCTTACTTTTAAAGTTTTCTTTACAGCTAATTTTTCTTTGGGATCAAAAATCTGCTTCACTAAGAAATCCGGCTTCTTGACATAACCACACCCTCCATTTGATCTGAACATCCCTTGCATTGACCACAGTGACCTCCCATATCCCTGTCGGTGATTGCTCATGTAAATATGTAATACACTACGCTTTTGCAAATAATAACAAGATTTCAACATAAGAAAACATTACAAGCTTTCTGGAAGTTAGACACCAAAAGTCACTTGTGGCTAACAGTTTTACCTGGCTACTAGCAAAGACAGAGTCACGGTTCAAAGAGATTTTGTCCCAAGAAGAGAAAAGGGTCCATTTTGCTTAAAAGGATTTAATTTTTTATGAAATTTGCTACTAATTGCCAAAAGGAGTCAGAAACAAGTGACATATGATAATAGATTGAGTTAAACCAACCAACCAACTAATACATTTAAAAACTCTTCCCTCATTCCAAATATTCTTCACATGTTTCCTTTTTTCAGTTGAAAGTAATCACTCACACTGTTTTCATTTTCTTAAACATTGTGTTAGTCAATGAGGGATATCATTTAAGGATGCAAGTAGTAAATAAGTATGCTTCTTGCTTTATGAGGGTTAAACCTTGCCACAATTTGAAACTCGTACATTGGTCAAGCACAGCAGTTTTCATAGGACATACTATGTCAGAAATATAGATGTACACAGCTAGAAGTTGCATCGATGCTGTATTTGACAGGTGTGATTTAATATCTGGAACTTCAGTTGCTAGAATCACATTATCCAAAAGACCCTTCAAAAATATTTGAAAGAACAATCCATTGCAGAGCCAATATTTTGTAAGTACCCAAAAAAAAATCTGTTTGGATTAATTTGGGTGCAGGAATTGAATAACTAGGAGTAAAGTAACACGCCAGATGAGTCATGATAACATAGAGTCATATTTAAAGGCTGCAAAGAGCACATACAAATTTATAAATAATTAAAGGATTGAAGAAAATATCATCAGTCTAAATCAATAGGCTACCTGCATGTTAAATGCAACCATTTGAGCACCATGCATCCAACCAATTAGAGGTTTATAATTGGAGGAAGTAAACCTAGTACCTTTAGGATACACCCTAAGAATATTTCTCTGAGTAAACCTGACAAGAGATGAGCATCCATTAGAGAGGAAAGTCGAAAAGAATGATGCGTTAATTTATTATGAGACCTAAAAAAGCTTCTACCCATGTAGTATGGTAAATAATAATACTCCATACTATTAATGATCTAAGTTTTCTTGAATTGAACTCTAGTAAAACATACCTGACAATGTCTGTTCCATGAGATTCAGCAGCCTTTTCAAGGGCTTGCTCACTTAGACTGAGGCGTCTCACTTTATCAGGTTCAACTTTCAGTGCCTCGTTTATCCCTCCTTTGGGCTTCCCAGCATGTATAGCAATCAAGTTCTTGTATGAAATTGCTTTTTGATCAAAGTCATCATCTTCCTCATCATCTTCACATTCTTGATTGTGCTTGGATGAAATAAATTCACCCTGCTAAGCAGGGACGGATCCAAGTTTTTGAGTTAAGGAAAGCAAAAAAAATTCGCTAGTTTAGGGGCCGGGGTGAATTTTTTTTTTACTAGTGTAGCTGGGCGAAATTTTTTTCACTAGTGTAAATGGGCGAAATTTTTTTCGCTAGTGTAGCGGGGCGAAATTTTTTCATTAATACATACATGACGACATATAAATCTATTACATTCTCAGTTTAGACAATGGAAAAATAACTTTGATTTTATAATTGAAGTGCTCCAAAAAAAGTATTGATACAATAAAGTGTAAGAAATGACAAATCAAAGGAAAATTATTTGTAAATAAAAAAGGATATATAACATTTTATCCAATTATTTGAAGATAAAGATTCTGAAAGATACACATCCACCAATACTTTTTAAATAACTTCCACATTGTTTAACCACATGAATCTTATCGGAATAAAGAATTGAGTTTTGAATTACAAATTTTATCTATCGAGGGTGTTTGTGAGTCACGAGAAGTTTTCTTAATATATTACAAAAGTATGTATGGGATTATTATTTTTATAATAATATTATGTTGCTAATTAATATATATGTTCATATTACATTAGTATTAATGCTAAAATAAGTTAAAGTTTATTATCTATGCAATAAATCGTGTAATTTAATGTCAACAAACATTCATGTTTTGGATTCACTTCACATGATCTAAAAATTGTTTATCTAGTGTGTCTGGTATTTAATATCATTTGATATTTTACAAAATCGAGTACTAATTATGTAATAAAGATTGATGGAGTATATGGCCCAGGAAACCCCGGCCCACATACTTCCACTACTACGAACAGGCCCAAAAGGCCCAAGTGGCCCAAACACAGCAAACAAGATTCCGGACAGCCCATACTACACAAGGTGTTGCCTTCGGCTCCATGCCTGAGGGCTTCATATTCAGGAATCAATAACGCCTGATCCAGAAACACAACTGGGAACCAAGGCTAAAAGCGCGAGCCTTCGGCACATGTAGGCCCCCGATACGTACAGCCCTCGGCACATGACGGTCCCCGGGTACGTACGGCCTTCGACACATGAAGGCCCCCGGGTACGTACAACCTTCAGGACATGACGGACCCCAGATACGTACGACCATCAGCACATGAAGGCTCTCGGGTACGTGCAGCCGAAGGCACTACCCCAACAGGATCTCCTCCTTGCACGCTCTGGATCGCCGCATTAAACGCGATGTCACGTCCAACCAACGCATTAAATGCGGTGCCACATGCTATGCCAGCGCCACCCTGGTTGAGTTGACCCTCCACCGTTGATTGCTTGACACATGTACTCGCATTAGATGCGCCTGGCATTTATGGCTGCTATAAATAGCAGCCACTTTTCCATTGTAATCGATCGAACTTTTGAGCTGATTTAATACATACACACACTCTCTTACTTGTTCTGACTTCTCTCTAAATACCCTTCAGCAGTATCCCCGGATATACTCCGTCAAAGATAGTTAAACATAATAAAAACCAGGAATTTTTATATAATAAGTATCCTAATTCTTAAACAATGAGTTTTTCTATTGTTTATTTGTTTAAGTTATGCAAATTATTTTAAATGCTTCTTTTAAATCTCCAAGTAAATATTACATTATGTAAGACTATATATTAATTTTGAAAACAAAAAAGTAAGGGGGCAAACACATATGTATTTAATTAAAGTAGAAAATTTTATGAAAACATTACATATATAGTAGAAAATTTTGAAAGTCCAAGGGGGGCGGTTGCCCCCTGCACCCTAAATCCATCTCTGCTGCTAAGAAGGTCATCGACACTTCATCGCTATCAATAACTTTTGGTTTGTTTGGCATAACTTATGTTATAAGTGCCTTCTTATTTGAGTACTTAAATTGCTTTTCTTAAAACAAAAACAGTTTGCTGCTGCTTTCTTAAATGAGTATTAGAGTGTTTTTTACTGTTATAGTCACTTTTTCCCTTTTCCTACCAAACACTACTTTTTGAAGTGAAAGTACATTTTTCCTTCTAATTAATGGGAGAAACTGATCAGATAAATAAAAAGGGGCTCACCTTGTCGGCATCTTGATCAGCTGTTAAGGTTGCAGGCTCAGCACCCCAAGGATCATCAGAATCATGCCTGCTAAGTGAATCATCTGGCTTTTCTTTGTTAGACGACTTGGACTCGAGGTATTCCTTTGGAGGTTTCGTTGAAATGATAATACGATGTTTAAGTTCTTCAGGAGAAGGGAGCTCCTTTAAAAATTCTGATTTGGTTGTGTATAGCATATCTCCAAATGTTTGTGTAAGCATCTACAGACCACAAATAGAGCCATCAATGGTCATGATGCTATTTCTTCTACGTATGCCTCATCAATGTAAATTTAGGATTTGCTGATTGTAAAAGTTACCACATCATTAATGTTTTCTTTGTAAACCTATACAAGTGTGAATTTAATCATGTGTATGTTATATATATATAGAGTCATTCTCCTGTCCAGCACTTTTCTGTCCGAACGCCGTCTGAACACCACCGTTTGGGGCGGTTCCCGGCGGAATTTTTTGATGAAATTTTTTTGAGCATGTTCCTCATCAAGTCTAGTTTATTCATACCAAATTTCAGATCAAAATTCGATCAGGAAGGCAGTCAAATAATTCGTTGAAGTTAACTGCACCAAATTATACATAGAAAAACGCAGTTAACTTCAACGAATTATTTGACTGCCCTCCCGATCGAATTTTGAGCTGAAATTTGGTATTAATAAACTAGACTTGATGAGGAACATGCTAAAAAAAATCATCAAAAAAATCCACCGGGAACCACCCCAAACGGCAGTGTTCGGACAGCGTTCGGACCGGGAGGTGCTGGACCTGAGAATTTTCCTATATATATATATATATGTATGTATGTATACAATTTTATCATCATGCATATGTGTGCGCACACGTGTAAAACTGCAAATTGTACTCCCTCCGTCCCATTTAAAGATTTCCGTCTACTATTCTCCGGTCAATGTGAATTGTTCTTAATCTTTTACTTTATATATCCAACTTTTATCAAATTTATTTTTTCTTGATCAGGTATTATAAAACTTTTAATGTAGTTTTTGAATATGTAAATTTTATTTACTAAAAATAATCTTATTAATGACAGAGATCAATTAACTTTATAGTTAGTCAAACATCGTAAACCGCATGAGAATCTTTAAGTGGGACGGAGGGAGTAATATGTAATAGGAAAAATAAATAAAAATAAGTGAAAAAGAAATATGTAATTTACGTACACCTTTAGATAGGTGTGGTTGTATGGACAGGATGACGTTATACGTTTGCGTAGATGGAATATCTAGCCAAACTAACTGATCTGAAAGGGGAAAACCTTTCTTTATCCCCATTACACTCTAGGCATAAAAGGGGGCAGAATTCATATAGAAAAATGTGAAGTTATTGCATTTTTATTGTAGTAAGGTTAGAAAAGGTAGTATACAACCACTGCCACTCCAAATTAACTAGTAAAATGCTACTCATTTATTAAAGCATAATAAAAGCTACTACATTATCTTCTCCTATTTATCTAGGCTACATAGCTATCTAACCAATCACAAAAAGAGCTACCAATGGTCATGATGCTAGTATTTCTTCTTCATTATGCCTCATCAATTTTTTCTCTGTAATTCTATTATTTGCTGATTGTAAAGATTCCACATTTTTAATGTTTTCTTTGTAAATCTATACAACTATGTGTGTGAATTTAATGTCTATGTTATAAATATATAATTCTATCATTAAGTATATATATGTTGTACGTGCATGTGCGTACATGTAAAAATGTAATACGAGCATTATATAAAAATAAGTGAAAAATAAATATGCAATTTTACATACAACTTTAATATGGTCGTATGTACATGATGATGTTGTACATTTGCGTAAATGGAAGGGAAAACCTTCCGCTATCCTCATTACACTCTAGACGTAAAAGGGGCAGAATTCATATAGAAAAATGTGACATTTGTGCATTATTATTGTAGTAAGGTCAGAAAAGTTAGTATACAACCACTACCATTCCATATTGATGAAAACAGAAAATAAAATAATCAACGATTAACAACCGTTGCCCAAGCTTAAAGCTAAAACTCCAATATTATTAATTCATGATTCCAACAGCCCTCCTTAGGGGTTTAAATAACCCTCTAAGTCTAAATAAGAATAGGAATCCTAATTAAACCATACTACGAAACTAAATAGAATACGAAACCTCTAATTCTAATAAGAATAGAAGTCCTAATTAAACCATTCTAGGAAACTAAATAGAAATAGGAAACCTCTAATTCTGATAAGAATAAAAGTCCTAATTAAATCACACTAGGAAACTAAATAAACTAGGAAACAAACTAAAAGGAATAATTCAAATTAATTAAATGGCCCGCAGCCAGCCCACGAAGGTGGTCTCAAGCCCATCCCCGCCCCCTGCTCTCCTTGCTCTCTATCACATATTAACTACGAAAATGCTACTCATCATTTATAAAAGCATAATAGAAGCTACTAAATTATCTTCTCCTATAATAGAAGCATAATAGAGGCTACAAAGCTATCTAACCCTTTTATATACTCCGCATTCTTTTTTTATATAATATATACTCTACCTGCCCCCAAAAAATGACTTGTTGGGTTTGGCACACTTATTAAGAAAGTAGTTGAAAAGTAAAAAACAAAGATGGAGATTTGAGTCGATAAATGTGAAATAATGAGAACCACTTATTTCCTAACTAGAAAGGAAAGATGATTTTTATTTTGGAACAATCCAAAAAGGTACATTTATTCTGGTATGGAGGGGGTAACATTTTATAGTCACATAAATTCATACTCCGTATAAAAATGCATCACTAATCATCTACAAAGCACATGTAGAATTTTTTTACTTCCCCTGGTTCAATTAATGATATCTATTCATTAATTACTCATTGACATCCAAAATTTTAATTTATTAATGTGATTTCACATTTTCACCCAATCAAAATGAGTGACACATCGGTGGGATAGAGAAGTGAGAATTTGAGATTGAAGGTTTCAATTTAACATTTATAGATCTATTACTTTAACCCATACTAAATTCAAAAAATAAATCTTCATATCACCTTAGGGCTTAGCAGTGCCAAAACAAAAAGAACTCAAATCAATAAAAACATTCACATACTAGAGATATTGTGAGCAACTCACATCAGCTACTTTAGCTTGAAGAGAAGGGGTAAGGTGATCTTCCAGGGTTATTACAACCGGGTAGGGAGATGCAATAAAGGCATTCTCCTTTATTGACTTGAGGCATCTTATAAGTTCCACAGGGGTTGTCACTGTCCTGCATTGAGATGTATGCAAACTTAATATTTGAATCTCGGTAAATGCTAGGGTAAGAAATGATATTGCAAAGAAATGTTATATTTTTATTTTTTTTTATTTATTTCGGGTTTACATTGGAATATGCAAAGGAAAATCAGATTTTGATTGTTTTTTTAAATTTTTAAATGAGCTAGGACTTTCTAGCAATCAAGTAATACAAATAAATAATTTAATTAATAAATAAACAAATATATGAAAAATAAATAAAAACAGATTTCTTGAGTTTGTGTCAATACTTTACTTTCTTCAACATTTTATTTCCTTCTGAATTCTTCCTATACTTTCCTCCCTATTTTCTTTCCCTAACATTTTCTGAGATTCAAAAAGACCCTAAGATGCTATAGAAAATACAGAGAAATGTGATAAATGAGACAAACATGTTAAAATGCCACCAAGTCAAGCATCAAACATTCAATTCAAGGTGTAATACAGTTTCAGTAATTTTGGGACCTAATGAATGACCTCCGTACACAGTAATCTCCCAATCAAAATCATAAAATTTCTGCATCATAAGTTATAACGTACTCCCTTCGTCCCATAAAACTTTGCCAAATTTGACCGGAACGGAGAATAATAAAGTATAAACTGTGTGGTTGAGGTTTGTGCAGAGTAGAGAGAAATAACATGAACCACAAGTTAATTGATTAAAATGGAAATTGACAATGTTTTTGAGACAATAAAAAAGGAAAGATAGCAAAGTTTAAGTGACGGATGTAGTATCTAAAAGTCTAACATCTATAGTTTCATTTATGAAATCGCATCCTTTCACATTAAAAGGCATATGAAGTGTGAATTGGGAGCGGACTAAAATAACCACTATGCGAACATCTGACATCATGGCATAAACAAACAATACCATGTCAAAGACCAACAACAACAGAATTAAATTGTCAACCTTCCATGAAGAACATTGACATCATCCTTTGCTGAGTTGGGCCATATATCCAGTTCGATGACCCTTACACCTCTTTTTAGTGCCTTAATTATTGGAACATCGCTGCAATCACTCGTCAGTTGATTTCCAGTCAAGTAAGAATTATGCCCAGTGAATATATAATAATGGGATAAAGGAGCGTTCATATCTTGATGAACCTGAAATGGAAACATAATGCAATAGTTATCATTCAGAAAGAGAAGCACTTGCACCAGAAAAGCAAGCGCACACAATACTTTTATGTCAATTTTTGCTGGAATTACATCCATCTTTTGGTAACATCAACACTGTTCGTTAACATCATGTGGCACTCTCTAAATGCTACTCCGTATTAAGTATACACGACTCCTTAGTCCAGCTTTAAGCAGAGAGTCACATTAATTATGTACCAAAAGAATCAAAAGTGCTTGGAAAGGAAATGTCTCGAAGTTAAAACACTACAAATTTAGGTAATTTAGGATTTAGAAAAAAAAGATTACAGTTAGATACCATCCAAATCAAGAAATCTGGGTTAAGCATAAATTATCCTATGTCATGACCATTTCGATAATTTATAGCTTTACTTATTCAAGACGCAAATGCAAATACTTAGCATTCTAAATCCGGGTATGAAAAAATATGAACTTGTGAAGTAATTGAGAGCTGTAGGGAAAAAATATAGAAATTAGACAGACTTCGAATTCTAGAAGAAGTCAACGAAAGAGAAATAACATTATACCTTAGAAATGATAGGGGGGTTGAGTTCAGCGTTGAAGAGGAAATGGTGAAAATCGTCCAGAGTGAGAGTGCGGCGAGTTAACTTGGAGATTAGGTGGTGTTTTTGGAGGATTTTATGCACAATTTCTTCAGCGTCGGCGGCTGTGGCATCCGTTTGTCCTTGCTCCTCCACCAGGAACCGCCGCAGCTGCTCCGCGCTCATGTGGGTCCCTTGCTCCGCATACTTGTTGAACGCCTCCTTGACGTCCGCCGGCGGCTGCGCCTCCTTCACCCGGAACTTCCTTGTGAAAAATATGCACACTCTGTAACTCCCCATTCCAGAATTCTACTCTCGATCTCTCACCGGAAACGACAAAGGAAGAGTAACTGTGAGTGATACATTCAAATCAGGATTTCATATCCACACGCTGTTTTGTACAACCTTCTGCAAGAAAGCATAAATACTGGCCCTCCGGGTAGCTCAACCGGTCCAGTTGGGTGGATTTTTTTGTACTGCGTTGTTTGAGTTTCTTTTGTTGTACGCCATAGATTTTTTTTTTTTAAATTGGATGCCAGCAAATAATATTGTCATCTAACTTCTTTGGCGGTTTGTACTCCAAAGAAAGTTTGGTTTGCTTGGGCTGCAACACTGGTTGGTTTGATAACACTAAAATTTGTTGAATTGGTTGATTCTGTTCAAATTTATGAAGTTCTGGCTGAAGTGGTTGTATTGGTTGATTCTGCTGATTCATTAAAAAACTATATTTAAAATATTTGTTATCAATAAATTAAATAAAAAATTATATGAAAAAATAGCTAAAATGATCTTCTGCAGTAGTTTCAGCCAAAACAGCCAGAAAAGTAACTATAATCTTACTTTTTATGCTTATTACAAACTTCAACGCGTGAAGTCAAAAATTACGTGTTTGGTGAAAAGGTTGGCTGATAAATCTGATAAGCAGAAAAAGGGGGTCATCAAACGGGCTCTAAATCTTAATGCAGATCCCCTCTTAATCTGTAATTAGTGATTATTTTTTCTATGACTTTGATAGTTTGATTATTAATTTATTATTTACCTTTATATTTAATTTTCCTTTTATTAAGTTTTTATAAAATTTTAATTATCAGTCTTAGAGCCCGTTTGGTGACTCCTTTTTTCGGCTTATCAGGCTTAGCGGCCAGTTTTTTCACCAAACACGTAATTTTTTATTTCGCACGCTAAAGTTTGTAATAAGCAGAAAAAGTAAGGTTGAAGTTACTTTTCTAGCTGTATTATCTGAAGTTACTGTAGAGGATCATTTTAGCTAATTTTTCATATAATTTTTTATTTAATTTATTAATAACGAATTTTTTAATTTTTTTCATGAATCAGCAAAATCAGTCAATACAGCCACTTCAGTCAGAACTTCGTAAATTTCAACGAGATATTCCAATTCAGTCAATTTTAGTTTTGCCAAACGGGTTCTTAATTTATATATTATGAGAAAAACTTAAATTCGTTATCTTTAAGATGTAACACAAAATGGGAGGATTGGCAGTGCTTATACCGTGGAACCGGTGCACGGTGAGCACCATGCACCTTTGTTATTTTTTATTTCTCCTTTTCTTAAAATTGTTAATAATTTTTTTATTTTTGATCCGATTTTTATAAAATTTTTATCAAAATTTTTATTTTTCATGATCTTTCAAATGAGACCAATATTTCCTATGTAATTTTAATTTTTTACATTCATGCATTTTTTTGTAATATATTTTTATATGCATACATTTTTTCTATAATGTATTTTTTAACACTTTTATACGTTTGTAGAGGTTTTTAAGATATTAAGTTTGTTTATTTTGCTTCTAGCTTGGAGTTACATTTGATAATATACGAAGTTACATCATCTTATACTCCACTTACAAGTTATTATGTGTGAGTTACATCTTGTTATGTGTGAGTTACATCTTGTTATACACGAGTTACATACTTTTATGCGCGAGTTACATGTAATTATGTGTGAGTTACATCTTGTTATATGTGAGTTACATCTTGTTATACACGAGTTACATACTTTTATGCGCGAGTTACATGTAATTATGTGTGAGTTATATCTAATTATTTGTGATTTTTTACTTATCTTTATCTTGAACTAATTCAATTATAACTGAATTAATTTTTTTCTTTGCCAATTTAATACAAAATTTTATTAATCCACATAAAATAAGTATATTGTATTTCTTATTCATACACTATTTTTCAAATGATAAAAATGAAAGATGTAGCAGAGGTTTATTTTGTGGTGTAACTCACATACATTAAGATGTAACTCGCGTATATTAAGATGTAACTCGCGTACAATAAGGATGTTTTTACTTGGACTGTAATTTGTTGGTCTGGTCTGGTCTGGTCTGGTCTGAACTGGTCTGGTTTGGTCTGGTCTGGTCTGGTTTCTTTGTATTTTTATAACTATCCAAGTCTGGTCTGAGCTGGTCTGGTTTGAACTGGTCTGGTCTGGTCTGGTTTGGTCTGGTCTGGGACGAATTACAATTCAAGTAAGAACATCCTAAGATGTAACTCGCGCAGAAGAAGATGTAACTTCATGATATATTATAAAATGTAACTTCAAAATAATTTGTTAAAATTACATAAGCAATATTGGTCTCATTTGATAGATCATGAAAAAAAATTGATATAAAATTTATAAAAATCGGATATCAAATAAAAAAGTTATTACAATTTTTAACAATAAAGGATAAAAAATAATGGAATCAACCACTGAATGTTGCGTCGTTTTGCAACCGGACGCACCATCCTCATGGTACGCCGGTTGCAGGTATAAATTGGGAAGGATTGGAGGAACAATTGTGCCAATTGCATTTGCATTAATGGTTGTGGGAGAGGATGTTATTATAGTTAGCAATTAGCATCGGATTTAAGAGGTGGGGTCCAGGTTTCATCTTATTCATATGATCATCTCTTTATCCACTTCGATTAAGAAATGTGATGCTTAGGGTTTGTTTGGGTAACAACGTTTTACTCAAAATGCTGAATCTTGGGAAAAGAGTCTAATAGATCATCAAACTTGCATAAAAAGGTCAAATAAGCTCTTATATAAGATGTTCTGTCTGGCCATCACCATTTGGGGCAGTTCCCGGTGGCATTTTTTGATGAATTTTTTTGAGAATCTTGTTCATTAAGTCTAGTTCACTCATACCAAATTTCAGCTAACAATTCAATCGGGAAGGCATTCAAATGAATTCTTGAAGATAACTGCGCAGTTTTCGTCAAAAATTCATTTGAATGTCTTCCGGATAGAAGTTTTAGCTGAAATTAGGTATGAGTAAACTAGACTTAATGAATAAGATGCTCAAAAAATTTCATCAAAAAATTCCACCGGAAACCGCCCCAAATGACGATGGTCAGACAGAGCCTTTTATAACAAGGCTTATTTGACTTTTACACTACAAATCCTGCAATATGCAGGTGTGTGCGGTGGCGAAACACCGGAAGCCAAACTTTACTTTTTGTCTTTTTTTGATTTTTTGGGTCAATCATATTCAAGTAAAAATATATTTTCCTAGTCATTCAACTTCCAATGGCAAATTATACCGTGGGATCGGCCCACCATGTGCATGGTGTGCCGATCCCCAATATGGTAGTGTTTTTTAATTAAAAACGAAGTAGTCAAATATTCTTCTCTCATTTGACCAGTTTTTATTCTCCAGCTCCGTTTCTTCACTCCATTATTTTTTCTCCAGCACCGTTTTCACCCACAACTTCACCCAGTTTTTTTTATTCTTCCATTGGACCTTTCCCTTTCTTGCTTTCTCTTGCATTTTCTATATCCATGCTTTCTGGCATATTTTAATAATTGAGTAGCCATGCTTCCACGACTCTTTCTTCTTTTTTTACTTGTTTTCTTTGTCAATTATCTTCAATTCCATTATTAAAATATTAAAAATATGATTACAATTTATAATTCCATTTTATATGTTTTTAGTGTTTTTCAATGCATTGAGTTTGATTATTTCCATTTACATTTAATAAAAACATGTGATTACATTTTCAAGTGTGCAATTTACATTCATACATGATTCCTGAAGTGATACGTAATACTGCACGAAGTTACATCTTCTTATGCGGGACTTACATATTTTTATGCGCGAGTTACATGTAATTATGTGTGAGTTATATCTAATTATTTGTGATTTTTTACTTATCTTTATCTTGAACTAATTAAATTATAACTGAATTAATTTTTTTCTTTACCAATTTAATACAAAATTTTATTAATTCACATAAAATAAGTATATTGTATTTTCACATTCATACACTATTTCTTACTTTGTATACTATTTTTTATATTTATTATACACTTTTTGTAAAACATTTTTTATATTCATGTACTTTTTTCTATAATATATATTTTTATCTCTTTTATATGTTTTTTGTGTTTTATAGACATTAAGGTTGTTTATTTCGATTTAAATTTGAAAAAAACATGAGAATAATACATTTTTCGTATGTGTGAGTTATGTTTATAGACAATTTCTATATTTACATTTGATATTATATGGAGTTACATCTTCATATGCATGATTTACATCTTTTTGTGCGTGAGTTACATCTTTCTATTCGCAAGTTACATTTGAGTTTGCCTTAGCAAATTACATTTTGCATGCACTAAAATTAGATTTTCAATCAACGCGAGTTACGTTTTCTGTAATACGAATTACATTACAACATAAAGCCTACTATTGAAACAAAAGAATCATTGTTATGCAAAAAAAATGGTTTCCAAAAAAAATATGTGTTTTGGCAAAAAAAAAAATTAAATCATTTTTATGGACTTAGTATTAAAAGCAAAATATATTCACCATTTATGTTATTATGTTATCCCCTGCTATTGAATAAAAAAAGTCACTTCTTTTTTTTTGGGATTTTTTGGCAAAAAAAAGATAAAAAAAACATTTTTATGTCTTTAATATTAAAAACTGTACATATGAACCATTTAAGTAAAGTGATTGAGCAATTAGACTCCTTATTTTCATTAAGATCAATGTTTTAATTCTTATAATTCGTATTAGACAAGTTACATTTTGATTTGCTTACCGTTACATTTCTTATTAGCTTGAGTTACATTTTGTTACACGCGAGTTACATCTATTTCTCTACTGGGACAATGAAAATACAAAAAAGAAGTTACTGTTCACGCGCGTGAACAGTAACATGTTTTTTTGTGTGGGAGCAGCATGCTCACCGTGGGCTGCTCCCACGGTATACCAACTGACTTGCAATGCCGTGATTTGAGTGTTTTAAATGGGGAGATTTACCCAAATAGGAGTAAATAAATCTTCAATTGCTAAAGTAGGTATAAAGTTCAAAATTTCCCCAAATAGGAGTTATTATTTGTAATTGGACAGAAATATCCCCGAAGCCTAATAAAACCTACTGCAGCAGCCAGAACGCCGCCCCGCCGCCAGTCGTCGGCCGCCAATCGCCGGTCGGACCACTATCAGTCGTTGGACGTCGTCGCCGCTGCAGATCTGGCCTTCGTCGTCGTAGATCTGGCCAGATCTGATTGCTGCCGCCC